TCCTTCCTAATCTTTCAGCCAGTCTACAAGTGCAGTAAAACCACTGCTTTAATATTATAAATATTCATAATTAAATATGAAAATAACATTTGAGCAGCAGATGACAGCTGGAGCTGGGAAGGGACACTACTCCATCCATTGTAGAAATGATCATTTAGGATCCATCACAGCTGAGCATCTCTGGGATTTTTGGTGCTCCTCTGAACTCTTTGGGCCCTTGCTGCACACTTTGTATGAGCAGAACCTGTGCTTCTGGTGGTGTCAAGCCCAGCCCAGCTGCATGGCCCATCACAGGACGTGTCAGTGTGCTTCTAAATGCCCTGCTCTTCTCAGGGCTCAGCAGAGACCTCCATTAACAGATCACTGGTTTTGTCCCAGCTGCATTTCAGAAAAGGTGGCAGGGTGAACGAGTGAACTGCGCTTGAGCTGAGCAGCAAAAAGTTCTTTTCTGCTCTTCCAGCACATTGCATTTATCCTCCATCCATAGGTTTTTTTGCTGTGTCAGAACCCTTGTGTGAACAGATCCTGGCTGGAAGTGGGGCCCCACAAGACTCCTGCCCACCACAAAGGCCACAACACTGGTGGAAATGTTCCTGGAGCCAGCTTCAGGAGCTGCAATAACCAAAAGGGGCCTCTGCCAACGAAGCACAAGAGGGAAAACCTTGTTCTGCTAATGCTAATTCATTTGTATTTCCCCATGTAGCTGCTCACCTACATGCAGCTCCTTCTGCTGCAAAAGCAGGGCGTGGGAGGGGAGCTGTGCGAGGCAGGGAGGGGAATAGTGGGAGCAAGACACTGGCTGGGCACAACAGGAGAGATGGGAAACCCCCACCAGAGCCTTGAACTGCAACTATGCAGAGTGATATGCAGGCAGGTGCAAAAGGGAATCTGTTTATTGCAAAAGCCAGGCCTATCCAAGCGATTTACTCCAACCATGAAACTGATGTCTGTCAATCTCCTTCCCACACCCAGGATTACAGTGCCATCACAGAGACACAGACAGCTGAGAGAAGAGGAGGAAGGAATTACCTCACTTTCTTATCCAGACCTCTGAGTAGGAGATGCTAAGAGAGACAGGAGCACAACTGGTACTGTAATTGGGGAGGTAATTGCTGTGGGACAGGTGAAGCTGCTGAGATGTGACTCACTTCAGATTTCCTTGTTTGTGGTAGGAACTGTAGTTTGGAAAGTGAAGACCAATACATGAAAAGAAAGAAAGAAACAAACAAAACCCAAAACACAAAAAATCCCAGCAAACCAACCAGCCAAAAACCCCCACACTGAAAAAAAAACCAACCCAAAACCATACACCCCTTAACCCTGAACAAATCCAGATCTCTTGCATGGGGAGGAAATTGCTTCTCAGTAAAGTGAATGGTTCCACTGTTCTCTTCACCGCTCTGATCCTTGTGAACATAAAACATGTTCCTTCCTTAATCTGGATAAGGAATATCCCAGAGATCAGAACAGTAGATTGGCTTTTACACAAACTATCATGAGGTTCAGATCTCTCTAAAAATAGTTGCCTGTCTTCCTAAGCAGCACACGGTATGACTGACTCGAGTTTAGAGGATGTAAGTTTATTAAATCTTTCCTCGCACACTTATTTTTCAAAAGTAATGTTGAATGACTACCCTATGTTAAGACAGCAGCCATCTCTCTTGATTCCAATAGGATATATCTCTTAAGTTCAGTACAACGCTTACATAGTGCTGTTCATATGATCTTTGAAAACCTTTATCTGCAAAAACAAGAATTTGATTCCTGTGCCTTTTGTCTGGGACTTAACTTGATGACCTCAGGCTTTGAAGTTTTATCTTTAGGCTAAACTTGTTCTGGTCTTTTATTGCTTATTTTTTCTATGGTGACTTGCTGTTAGCCAACTGGAATCACATCTCTGTTTAATTCACAGAATCACAGAGTCAACTAGGTTGGAAAAGACCTTTGAGATCATTGAGTGCAACCTTACCCTAACACCACCTTATCAACTAAACCATGGCACTGAGTGCTTCATCCAGCCTGTTCTCAAACACCTCCAGGGACTTCCTCTTCTTTATTCACATATCCCTCCTTATCACTACATTCAGACTCGTTCTTCCCTTCTTCACTTGCTTTGGCTTTACTCCGTTCTAGTCCTTGGTCATTCTTATCATCTCTTGATTCTCACTTCCACAGCTTCTGTTCCTTTTCAGATGCTTCCTCCTGCACTGGGATTTTCTTCCTCCAGCAATATTCCTGCCTCTCAGTAGGACCCCTCCTGCTTTTCCACACTGAGGACTCCAAATGCTTGCAGCAGGCAGGAGCTGTGACTTGTCGCCATCCCCACAGGTTTCCTACAAGACACACTGGCTCTTACTCTTCACTTTTTCTGTGCGAGTCAGCATCTGATAGATTACAGAACCAATGAAGCCCCTTTCATCTTCTTTAGCACACCCTCCCACTTCCCCCCCCTTCTCATGCTTTCTTGTCAAATTATTTATAGGACATTGATTCACAGACCTGTTATGTCTAATTATATCCATTCACTTCTAATACGAATCGCAATTCTGTTAGGAGTTAAGATTGCCAGAAATGTTTTGACCTAAGAAAGAGGAGGTGGTGGCTACTTATGCAGATCAGATCCTATAAAAGTGCCCTGAGATCTGTGTGTCTTGTCCTTTCTCAGAAATCTCTAAGGTAAGAGTTTCAGGGCTTGGGACTAGGGAGGTCGGGAATGAAGGGAAACTGGCTCTGCATTCCACAAGTTCCAGTGCATTCCTACGGATGCTCACATTTGTTCAATGGGGGTCTGCCAGTGTCAGCTGGGATTTTCAGTCTGCTTTCCAACCATCCATTTGTTTTCAGTCTATCAATGTTGCCTGGGGTGCAGCAGTAAGAAGAAAGTTACTAATTCTGTTCCTTAATATTGTCTGTCTTCCAATCTGCAATCCTTTGTCTCACAAAAGGTAAGGTCTTGATTTCTTCACTTTTTTAGGGACAGGTAGAGTTGCTGTAAGGCAAGGCTTCTATGCAGGTATGCTGGAAATCCTGGTAGTCATTATATTTGTGTCCATGGTATAAATGCAGTATGAGAATTGGGCTGGATTGATGTTATTTTTGCCACAAGATTCTTAAAGAGTGTGATCTTTAAAGTACTGATCACTGCAGCATTGCCCACACTCTCCCCAGGGATCTCTAGTAGATACCAGTTCCTGGAGAAACTGTCCTGAGGGAAAAAAACAACAAAAAAACCCCATCAGAAATTCAAATTATAATAATTATAATAATTTCCAATTATTTGGGAAGGGTTTCTTGCATTTATATCAAATATCAAGGGTCAATGACACTGACTGTGAAGCAGCAGGAAAAGAAATATATATTTAAATAATGTTAATATGTTCTTTTTTTCACATGGAAACTTGAGGAACATGGTTAGAATTTTGTGTATGAAAACATCAAAATGCTAAAAGCAAGCATTTCAATCTGAGCTTCCTTATAGGCTTGTTTCTGCCTCTGAAAGTATTGCCTAATTGTGACAAAATTATATAAGTAAATATTTGTAATCATAAGGAACTGAATAAAGGATTATACCTAGTTGGTAACTGGAAGAAGAGAGATGAAACTGCATCTAAATTCAGTTTTAAATATTTACACTGAGGAAAATAAACTATTTGTGTTTACTTTCTACAGTAATTTATATTAATTTTATCAAATGTTGTCACTAGAATATATCCCTCAAAATTATAAAACGTCAACAAGCAATCTTGTAAGGAATATAACCAGCATGCTTTGAATCAGTGAAGGAGAGTTAGCATAGCATTAATTTCAGGAAATGTCAAACAAAACAATCGAAAGAAAACAGTTTAATGCTTTTAAAAGTCAGTTTGCTGACACATTACATACATATATTAATGCTTACTAAACTACAATATATATTATAGTTTTTGATAGTATCAGAAGGATATATTCTGAGAAGAGCATCCAGTCTCTATAAAATAACACAATGTACAATATAGGTACAATACACAAATATAAACTAATATTCTGTAATATATAATAGCATAATATATATACTGACATAGTATATACTAAGATATATAATATAGCAATCTTATTCCTCCTAGGAAGAGTTAGTATTATTCCTGTTAGGAATCTTGTAAGAAAATGTGAGATAATATAAGCAATGTTAAAATTGCTGGTGAAAATCTGGCACAATTTTTCAACCTTCCATGATTATTTTGTCTCATTTGAGTTATAATATGGAGTTATGGAATGGTCTCATTTAACATGGAGTTATGGAATGGTCTCATTTGAGTTATAACATATTAATCAAGTGGAAAAACATGTTCTTATGGACAAAACCAGTCAGGAAATCCCACCCATTACTTGAATTGATAACACCAATTTGTGTCATGAAGTTTGTCTTTGGCTAAGAAGGCAAAGTAATTTTTTTTTGTTGTAAAAATTATTCTTCCTAATATCTGATCTAAACTCATCCTATTTCAGTTGTGAGCTGTTCCCCTTTGTCCTGTTGCTCCAGGCTTTTGTCTAAAGCTCCCCTTCAAGTCTCTTGGAACTCGCTTAGGTAAAGAATGGTTGCTGGAAGGTCTCCTTGGAGTCTTCTCTTCCTCAGACTGAACTAGCCCAGCTCTCACAGCCTTTTTTCAGAGCAGAGGGGCTTTATCCCTTGGAGCATCTCCATGGCCTCCTCTGGATTCACTCCAACAGCTCCATGTTCTCCCTCTGCTGGGACCCCAAATACAAAAACACAGAAAGCATTCTTCTGTAAATGAAATTGTCCAGTACAACTAACAGTCTGACCACAAAAACTAATCATAATAATAAAAAAAAAAGTTGCAGAAGAGAACTCTGAATTAGCAGAAAAAGAAAAGGCAATTTAGTTGATACCTAAGGAAGAGCAATAACATATGCCATAAAAGTGTTCATTCCATCACACTCTATTTTAATATATTCTCTATCCTCACAGATACTTGCTGCATTACGTGTAGCAAGCAGCAGCCATGTCTACGGACGCTGAGATGGCCATCTTTGGGGAGGCTGCCCCTTACCTCCGAAAGTCAGAGAAGGAGAGAATTGAGGCCCAGAACAAACCTTTTGATGCCAAGTCATCTGTCTTTGTGGTACATGCAAAGGAGTCCTATGTGAAGAGCACAATCCAGAGCAGGGAACCAGGAAAAATCACTGTCAAGACTGAAGGGGGAGAGGTGGGTAAAATGATAAATTTACAAACAAGAGTAGATTCCCACTCTGGCTCTTAGCTGACATGTCCTCTTACCTTCTGGCTCTTACCTTCCTGCCCTCTGACAGACCTTGACCGTGAAGGAAGATCAAATCTTCTCCATGAACCCTCCCAAGTATGACAAAATCGAGGACATGGCCATGATGACCCACCTCCACGAACCCGCCGTGCTGTACAACCTCAAAGAGCGTTACGCAGCCTGGATGATCTACGTAAGTGGCAGCAGCAGCTTCCTCTGGGCAGCCTCAGGAGCTGCTGGGCCAGGCTCAGGGGAAGCCTGAGTGCTGTGTCCCTTCCTCACAGACCTACTCGGGTCTCTTCTGCGTCACCGTCAACCCCTACAAGTGGCTGCCGGTGTACAACCCCGAGGTGGTGTTGGCCTACCGAGGCAAGAAGCGCCAGGAGGCCCCTCCACACATCTTCTCCATCTCTGACAACGCCTATCAGTTCATGCTGACTGGTGAGTGGCTCTGTCTGCCTCAGGGGCATTGGACCATGAAATTCTCTGAAGGGATACTCTGTCTCAGCAAAGTGAAGACTTTTTCATTCCTTTCTTTTCTCTGACACACACATCTGTTGGAGTTTGCTATCTTCATAGCATTTTTTCCACTGTGTTAAATTAAAGACACCTCTACATTAAGTGATGTGCTTTGGAAAGGTTTGCTTGTTCAAGTCAAGCTGACATCAGGCAAAACATTAAATTATGTATGTTTCATTCTTTCTCTGTTGCTCATGAATTTTAAGTACCGTGTTTCTGCCTTGTTCACAGATCGGGAGAACCAGTCCATCCTGATCACGTACGTACACCCCCTGCGCGGGTCCCTGCGGGGCTGCCCGGTGCCAGGGCCCCTCCTGCCTCACCATGCACCCTCTGCTTCTCTCTTGGCTTGGGCAGCGGAGAATCCGGGGCCGGGAAGACTGTGAACACCAAGCGTGTCATCCAGTACTTTGCAACAATTGCAGCCAGTGGGGACAAGAAAAAGGAGGAGCAGACCTCAGGCAAAATGCAGGTGAGGTCCCAGGGATAGAAACCTGCAACTATCCAATTTCTTGATGAGCTAGACCATGACAAGAAGATATCTCCTTCAGGGGACACTTGAGGATCAAATCATCAGTGCCAACCCACTGCTGGAGGCCTTTGGAAATGCCAAGACCGTGAGGAACGACAACTCCTCACGCTTTGTGAGTTGTTACTTGGGACAACTGTCAACACTAATTTGAATATTCTTGCTGTCCAGATTGGCAAAATAAATCTCAAATTACTGTCCTGCTGCTTCCAGGGTAAATTCATCAGAATCCATTTTGGTGCCACAGGCAAACTGGCTTCTGCTGACATTGAAACATGTAAGACCCTTCTGGCTTGATCTCCCTTCCCTCCTGCCTTCCCCACTTCTTGTGCTTGACTGTGTCCTACTTTCCAGATCTGCTGGAGAAGTCCAGAGTCACTTTCCAGCTCAAGGCAGAAAGGAGCTACCACATCTTTTATCAGATCATGTCCAACAAGAAGCCAGAGCTAATTGGTAGGAAAGATCATGAACTCCTCCATGCAAAGATCATGGAACAACTTTGAATTCCTTTCTGTGTCAATTGTATTTGACCTGGCTCTGTTTTGCCCTTCTTTTCAGAGATGTTACTGATCACCACCAACCCCTATGACTATCTGTATGTGAGTCAGGGTGAGATCACAGTTCCCAGCATTAACGACCAGGAGGAGCTGATGGCTACCGACGTAAGTACTTCTCTCACATGAAATTTAATTTCTCTGACCTTTAACAGCTGGGGTACTCACCATAACAACTCTTTTGCCAGAGTGCCATTGACATCCTGGGCTTCAGTGCAGATGAGAAAACAGCCATCTACAAGCTGACAGGGGCTGTCATGCACTATGGGAACCTGAAGTTCAAGCAGAAACAACGAGAGGAGCAGGCAGAGCCTGATGGCACCGAAGGTACCAGCACAACCCATCCCAGAGCACGGGAGACAATGAACACTCACTGAGCTGTAGGCAGCCCGTGAGGGTCAGAATGATTGACTCAGCCTGTGCATTTCCCTGGTGTCAATATTGTAGAGTCATAGTGGGTCTAGCTAGAGAACTTCTCTGGAGGAACACAACTCAGTGGAACCTGTAGATTATTTTGAACAAAGGAAAAAATTAAGTCCAGTGACTCCTAAAGCATGCTTCTGTTTTTTGTCAGAGTAGGAGTCAGGCAACAGTAATGCAAACTTTGCTTTGGATGGAAACTTCCTAGACCTGACACAGAAACAGGAACATCTCTCAAGTACTAATGAATAATTATATAATTATAGCAGAGTAGCCTATATACAACCACAGTGTGCATATACATACATATATATCTACAAAACTGAAATTTTCTTCTTGTTTCATCTTTCTAGTATGTATGTGCTTTAAATGTCTTGTTGGAAATAACACATAAAAGCAGCTCAACATTAGCATCTGTGTATAAATCTTATATAATGAGGTTTGGCCTTCTCACATTGAAGAACTCTGTAAATAATACGGGTGCTTGCTATCAGCTTCACCGTGGGACAAGACAGACAGCAAATTGGAAAGTGATGACAGATTATCTGCTGTGCTGTGGTGCTTGTATTTGTTAATCTAGCTGCAGATAAAATGGGAACTGGGAAAGACTTAATGTGTTTGATATTTATCCTTAGGTACAATATATTCTGACTGTGAAAGCTGTACAAGATATCCTTGTCATACCTTTAGCATTATACCTCACTGATCTGCCTCTCTCTCTCCATTGACAGGAGAGTTTTGCTGACTACAATTTTCAGTGCAGTGTACTTGAATACCAACCATTTTCCCATTCTGTTTATTCAGAAATTGACTGATCTACCATTTTTATGGCCCTCTTGCATGTTCATTGTAAAAATACTGGAATAACATTTACCTTTATTAATCATATAGACTAAATCAGAAAAAAATAGCAAGTCAAGAAAAACTACAATATTTTAAAGGACATGGTAACATATATGAGGCTTCTGTAGAAATCTGAATTACTGCAAGACCCTTTCACTGGAGAGCTAATATCTGATCCTGCTCTATGCTCATTTCCTTAGTTGCTGACAAAGCTGCCTACCTGATGGGTCTGAACTCAGCAGACCTGCTCAAGGCCCTCTGCTACCCCCGCGTCAAGGTGGGGAATGAATACGTGACCAAAGGCCAAACTGTGCAGCAGGTAAGAGACAAGTGAAAATAGGAAAGAAAAAAATACTTGAATTAAAAATTTCAGTCTTTCTCTTCTGCTGCAGATCATAGCTTTCCTTTAATCTTTTCTTAGGTGTACAATTCAGTGGGTGCCTTGGCAAAATCTGTGTTTGAGAAGATGTTCCTGTGGATGGTTGTTCGTATCAACCAGCAGCTGGACACGAAGCAGCCCAGGCAGTACTTCATTGGTGTCCTGGACATTGCTGGCTTTGAGATCTTTGATGTAAGAGAAGGATCTCTGTAAAGATTTCCTGGAAGAGGCATTGGGAAATTTGAATATTTAGGGTTGGGGTGTGCTTTATTTCAGTTATGGGATATTTCTGTTTATTGGATAATCCTGCCTTTCCTCTAGGAAAGGCATCCTTCTGGTTCTCATTGCATGCAGTATCCCCCAGAGCTGTATGTATTTGTAGATGTTTGTTGTTGAATGAAGAAGTGAAAAATGCATTGAAAACTGTTGAACCGCTGACAAATAATAGCAGAGAGACTTTGAGGAAATTAATATATGTCTTTTTAAAGGAAGATTTTATTAATGCTGAAGCCAGATTTCCTATGAATTCTTGGGAATACAGTGGTCATGCACACAAATTAAAACAAATGAAAAGCTAGACTTGGACTAAGCTCTGCAGATCAATTCAGAGCTTAGAAATATGTTGAGATAGTGCCAGAGCCTAAAAGGTTAGATATATTAGAGGATGGAATATGCAAGACACCTGTCCAGTTCCAGCACTAGAAATTCAAGATTCCAGTCCTGGAGACCGTAATGGGATAAGAATAAAGCCTATTGGAAGATGGAAGGTGTTCCTGGAACTGAAATTCACAAGTAAGTAAATATTTGCCTTCTGCAGTTCAACAGCCTGGAGCAGCTGTGCATCAACTTCACCAATGAGAAACTGCAACAGTTCTTCAACCACCACATGTTCGTGCTGGAGCAGGAGGAGTACAAGAAGGAGGGAATTGAATGGGAGTTCATTGACTTTGGCATGGACCTGGCTGCCTGCATTGAGCTCATTGAGAAGGTTATTTGCCCCCACATGCTTAATAGTTTTTCAGTTATAAAATCTCTATATTAATATTTCTTAAGAAATTTTCTGTCTTGTTTTAAAGGAAGAGCATATTAGGAAGTTTAAACTCTTCCTTATATCTGAATGCTACTACTTTAATTCATTTTGCTTTCCACTTTCACCAAACATGTACAAAATTAATTTTTACATGCTAGATCTTTATTACATCCCAACCCTGAATCTTATAAGGGAGCTTGTTTTTGTATAACTCATGGCATATCCACTAACAAAATGTCCTTTCTGGGAAACATAAGATTACGCACACTGAGCAGGATTTTTTGGTATAACTTTTATCTTCCATTCCTCTTTCTTACATACATTGCCTCTGTATCTTCTTTCCACATTTCCTTCACATGTTGCTATTCTTCCCAGCCCATGGGCATTTTCTCCATCCTGGAAGAGGAGTGCATGTTCCCCAAGGCAACTGACACCTCTTTCAAGAACAAGCTCTATGACCAGCACCTGGGCAAGTCCAACAACTTCCAGAAGCCCAAACCTGGCAAAGGCAAGGCTGAGGCCCACTTCTCCCTGGTGCACTATGCTGGCACAGTGGACTACAACATCACTGGGTGGCTGGAGAAGAACAAGGACCCTCTCAATGAAACTGTTGTGGGGCTGTATCAGAAGTCATCCTTGAAGACCCTGGCCTTGCTCTTTGCATCTGCTGGTGGGGCAGAAGCAGGTGATTTTTTTGAAATCAGTTCTACTATAATTTACAGAATAAGAAATGAAAAATTTTTAAACATATTTTGCAATGATATTTACATTTCTAAAATTGAAAACCCAAAACCTCATCTACATTTTGGATCTCAGTCTAATAAAGGATGTTACTGCTCCCTAGAGACCTTAATAGAGGTATAGGTTTTAGAACGAGGCAGCTGTACTAGACCATTAAGCCAGTCTAGCTGAGAAGCCAAATTTCTGCAATATGGACCATTCTCAAATACTTCAGTGAGTGCAGTCAAATGTATCAACGTGCTGTTAAATTTATGCACACCCTTAGACATAAGAATACATAAACATTTGGTGTATTTACTAGCTATTTGTTCAGTTCCTCAAATATCTTTCTATGCAAAATCTTATGGTTTTTTTCCCAACTCTATTTTCTAAATTTCAGCTTGAAATAATGAGATTTGCTTCTACTGTCATCTGAAAAATTCAAGCTTCTTTTTGTAACTTTAACCACAGTCTGAGTTTGCAAATTTTGATCACATTATTATTTTTGCTAGATTTTTTAAGATGAACATATAAGGTTTTTCAGATTCTGTGTGCTTTTGTTTTTTACGTCCTTATTATTATAAAATAATATTTATATTATTATTTATTATTTATATCTATATTTTAAAAATTATTATTTTTTAGAGAGCAGTGGTGGTGGTGGCAAGAAGGGCGCCAAGAAGAAGGGTTCTTCTTTCCAGACCGTCTCGGCTCTCTTCCGGGTACTGTAGAATAATCATTCTAAACTTACCACATTATGAAAAGAAAAACAGAAGATTCCGTTCAGGAATGCCTTAGATTGATCTAATATATCTTAGTGTTCAGAAAGGATAAAATAATTTGCTTCTAGTAAAGAGGAATTCTTACTGAATATTGGGAAGTATTCTTTCAGAACTGCCCAAAAGTTCTGTAAAGAAATTACTTATCATGGTTTTATTGCAGCGTTTTTATCTTCACCTGCTATTGAGATTGTGTAAGTGACACTTCTAAACTCAAGGCTTTGTTCTTGCTCCTAAGGAAAATTTAAACAAGCTGATGAGCAATTTGAGAAGTACACATCCCCATTTTGTGCGGTGCCTTATTCCTAATGAAACAAAAACACCTGGTAAGTTGTTGAAGCTCAGAGGTGTGATATATCTGATCTTCTTTGTGCAGTGAAATGACATACAATTTCATTCTGTGATTTATTAGGTGCCATGGAGCACGAGCTGGTGCTGCACCAGCTGCGCTGTAATGGCGTGCTGGAAGGGATCAGGATTTGCAGGAAAGGGTTCCCCAGCAGAGTCCTCTATGCTGACTTCAAACAGAGGTGAGATTACGTTTCATCACCCTCCACCATATCAACAAATGCTGAATCATTTGCATTTCCTAATTGTTTTAAGTACTGTGGAAGTTGCCTTTAGATATACTATTCTATTTATTTAGATATACAGAAGTAATTTGTCCAAGTGAGTCATTTAGGTTCTTTCTATAGCTACTTAGAAGAAAAAAAAAAAAAGACATTTTCAAAGGTCTGTTATTTATTCCTTATCTTCCTTTGATTCCACAGATACAAGGTGCTTAATGCCAGTGCCATCCCTGAGGGACAGTTCATCGATAGCAAGAAGGCTTCTGAGAAGCTCCTTGGGTCAATCGATGTGGACCACACCCAGTACAAATTTGGACACACCAAGGTACAAACCCCCCATTCACTGCCTGCCTGGGCTTTGCTCTCTCTACTTGATAGTGATGTGCTGCAACATTGCCTCTCTCAAGGTGTTCTTCAAAGCTGGGCTGCTGGGACTCCTGGAGGAGATGAGGGATGAGAAGCTGGCACAGCTCATCACCCGCACCCAGGCCATGTGTAGGGGTTACCTGATGAGGGTGGAGTTCAAGAAAATGATGGAGAGGAGGTAGATATTTACTTGGCTTGCTGGGACAATTGTAATCAGATACTAATGGCATGAACAAAACTGAAAATAAGCTGCTTCACAAAAAGATTCATTTATTTCTCATTAATTCAGTTTGCCAATATGAAAGTATACCCTGAAAACAGATGAAGTAGTAAAAAAGTCCTTCTTAGGAAAACAATTTTTTTAATACTTCGTTGTTGAAGTCATTAAATAGCTATAGCATATGTGTGTTGTGAAACTTAATATCTAGCCTAAGCAAACTATTTTAGGTCACTGCTAAATAAAATGAGAGAAAGACATATTTCTATCATATGAGAAGCATCCTCTTCCCTTTGATAAATTTCATAAAAGTGACTGAGTTAACTTACAGAAGTGTTCCTTTTCATTGGCCATAAAAATAAGCCAAACACCTGGACTCCAAAACTTTCCATACAGGTTGATACTCTACATAACACTAGAAGGTTTTCAGGGAAATATATCTATTATATATAAAATGTGATCTAAATATTATTAAGAAATATCTACTGAATAATAAATGATAAATATTTTACACATAGATATATACAGAACTATATATACATACAAATATACTATATATAGATACTACGTATATCTACAATTAAGAAGTATTATGTGTTGAACTTCATGTTATATATACTAACATATACTGCTAAATATGTTTTATAGATTTAAAAATATGTACCAAAATACGTTTTGTTATTACCTTTCAGGGAGTCCATCTTCTGCATCCAGTACAATGTTCGCTCATTCATGAATGTCAAACACTGGCCATGGATGAAGCTGTTCTTCAAGATCAAGCCCTTGCTGAAGAGTGCAGAGTCTGAGAAGGAGATGGCCAACATGAAGGAGGAGTTTGAGAAAACCAAGGAGGAGCTTGCAAAGTCTGAGGCAAAGCGGAAGGAGCTTGAGGAGAAAATGGTGGCTTTGGTGCAGGAGAAAAATGACCTGCAGCTCCAAGTGCAGGCTGTGAGTATTGCTAAACTTTTTTACTTGTAACATCCTATATAAAATCATCCTAAATGTATCAGTAAAGACATATTATCCCAAAATACCAATTATTTTAAAATATACACATATTTCATAAAATAGGAATAAAAACCACATAGAATTGCTAAGTTGAAATCAGGAAACCTTATTACATCTGCAATTAATTATTGCAGATGGTTCCTTATTCTTTTAAATCATGAGAGAAATAATCAATTTCCAGTCAGCAAATATTAGAGTTTGCAGTATGTCATTTTAATCCTGCACAGTAACTAACAGAAGCAATTAGAATCACAGAATAGTCTGAGTTGGAAGAGTTTCAGATGGATCATGATGCTCTTAAGTGAATGGCCCATATCAGGATTGAGCCCACAACCTCGGTGTTATTAATACCATGCTCCAACCAAAGGAGCTATCCCGGAGTCTCTATCACATCTTTATAGAAATTCATATACTTTACCGTTCTGATATGATATCAACTGACCAATTAAGGTTGTCTGGATGTCCTAACATATTTAGTTTGGAGAATCACAAGTGAAATCAGCTGAAGGAGTAAGGGCTGTAGCATTTATGGTCCCTGCTTCTTCAAGAAACACAGTGTGAAAGTTCACTGCTTCCCTTTTTCCCTCGAAATAAGAATGTAGCATCATTCATCTCCTTAAAAGTTCATTTACAAGCAAGTATTTGATGCCATTTAGATGTCTACAGACTAAAAGTACATCTGAGAGACTAGTCCCAGGTTGAAAACTGTTTTATTAAATTAATCATATAGGAAGCTGATGGTTTGGCTGATGCTGAGGAAAGGTGTGACCAGCTCATCAAAACCAAAATCCAGCTGGAAGCCAAAATTAAGGAGTTGACAGAGAGAGCAGAAGAAGAAGAAGAGATGAATGCAGAGCTGACAGCCAAGAAGAGGAAGCTGGAGGATGAATGTTCAGAGCTGAAGAAAGATATTGATGACCTTGAGCTAACACTGGCCAAGGTGGAGAAGGAAAAACACGCCACTGAAAATAAGGTATGAGGTAGAACCTGTCACTCGCACTCTGGAAAGACTTGTCTTGTTAGAAAATTTTAAGCACCATTTTCTGCCTGTGCTTGCCCCTTTCTTCTCAAAGGTGAAAAACCTGACTGAGGAGATGGCAGCCTTGGACGAGACCATTGCCAAGCTGACTAAAGAGAAGAAAGCCCTCCAAGAGGCCCATCAGCAGACCCTGGATGACCTGCAGGTAGAGGAAGACAAAGTCAATACTCTGACCAAAGCCAAGACCAAGCTGGAACAGCAAGTGGATGATGTAAGCACACACAG